AAGATTCTATACCTTTTAGTTCTTCAGAAGAAGTCGTTGGAAGTTTTTGACATATTTGACCCCTGTGACCTTGGAAACAGGTCAAGGTCATTTTCGTTCTCAAATTTTGTAGGGCTCCTACCAACGAAGCTTTCAGCCAAATATCATGACTCTAGGCCTATCCGTTCTTCAGAAGAAGTTGTTTAAAGGAAAAGTTGATGGACGAGGACGGACGGACGGACGGACGACGGACGCCGGGCCACGGCATAAGCTCACTTGGCACTTCGTGCCAGGTGAGCTAATAATAATTAATAATTTGAGGTTCTTATATATTACTTTATCACAACCTAGTTTGTAGGTCATCTCAAAGTGGTTCACAAATTATTATCCGTGGTTATAGGGCTTTTATGCAACCAGCCAACATCTTCCTCAACTCCCTGGGGAGCATTCAGCCGGTGCTGCCATTTCCGCGCTCACAGCTAGTATTCAACAATTCTAGCACTGCCCAACCACGTACTCATTTACTGAGTAGACTAGAACAAGCGGAGTAAAGTATCATGCTCAAAGATACAACACAGTGCCGTGCCGTGCCGTGCCGTGGCTCGAACCCGCAACCCTTCGGGCACGAGCCCGGCGTCCTACCACTAGACTTCCATGCCTCCTCATATACTGATATACTGTCCCTCGTTTCATTTGCCACCTTGCTAACTACCAATACATTTCACTGTCAACCTTTTTTTTTTTTAAATTCTTAAGAATCCCTTATGTGTTTCCTTTGATATATCGCCAAACTCCTCTTTAACGCCAAAATTTATCTGGACAAACGGTGGCAGTATAACGATGTTTTACTGTAAATTAATCACATTTGCTGGCCTGGATGGTTAAGGGGGGGGGGTGGGGGGGTAAACGTGGCAGGAATCTGGAGTACCCACAGAGAAAAACAATATGGTCGGGCAGCTAGATTATCCGATATATATATCTTTTCACGTTTGATTTGGAAAATCAAACCCTGGCTGTCTCGGTAAAAGTCAAGTGAGCAATATATCCAATGTGCAAACAACCACTATTGCTCATTCTTGAATCAAACTTAGAGTTCACAAAATACATAACGTGACGCTACCACAATTGGTACAATTTTGACAGTTTTTTAGTGATCTTTAAAAATTCAGATCTTGTATCTGGAATGTTTCTTGATTCTTGACAAAGACTATCTATGGTGGTTCATTTTCAGGAAAAGATTTATATCTAAGTAATTTATTTTTGAAAATAGATCGCTAAACTCGGAGTGAGATTTCGTCCGTTTTTCGGCCGTAAATAATACCCAAATTGGTACACCATATCACAGGCTATGGAAATTGTTTATATTTCTACAAGTTGATGTGCCGATTACAACAAAATATATTGCTTTTATAGATACCACACTGAACTATAATTGTATATATTCACTTTTATATTATCCGAATATAAGGACCAGAAATCAACATTTAAACATGCTTATATTTAACCCCTTGAAAATCCTCCAAAGTTTCGTCGACGTACGTCGTTTTTACTGGTTTTCCGATATGTTTACTTTGAAGTCATCGTGTACTCTTAAAATGTTCCTGAAAACAAAACTATTCGGCAGAAATGCTGTTAAATGTCTATTTTGTTATACTGTTAATGGAAAATGCTCAAATTTAATTTTAAAGTACTATTCGAACAATTTTCTGACCGTGTACCAATTTGGGTAGTGTACCAATTGTGGTAGCGTGACGTTAGATCCAGATTTAACTTGAGTTACATTTTATAAGTCACTATGTATAATATGGTGTTGATAATTTACTTATAAAAGTAGCATGGTCGAGGCCCTGAATTTCTAAAAATCAGCTTGACTTATTAAAAGATCAAACCTACCCTGAGGCCCTGTCGCTCCGCTTGGGAGCCTGCTTCAACATGGGATACAAACACGCCAATCCCATGTTCAAAACCTGTAACATTTCAAGACATACATTGAAAACATTTGATTTTTTTTTATGAATAAGTGAATGTTGTGGATTCAAACTAAGGCCAGTAACACTATAACCAAGAATAAATCAGAGGTAGAAGGAGAACACCCTGGTGACATTTTTGCTCTAGGTTAATTTTCTGTCCTTAACTCATTCACCCCTGAAGACACATTTGAACTCTTCCAATTCAAAGGATGGAATAGTTCATTATGAAATTTCAGGGTTGAATGAGTTAAAGGAAGTGGATAAATGTATGTTTTACAGAGACATGATAAGTACGGACTAAGGAAGGGATGCCTAGCTCTGGTCATGAAGACAAATATTGTAAGCCTTTCTTTCTCTCTTTTAAAATTTTACCCCCAGACAGCACATGTAATTAAGGAAGGCCAGGCAAATATTGTAAAGCCTTAATTATGAGGTAGGACTATGACAAGACTTACCTCCCCTGACAGCAAACCCCAGGCTTTCGTTGGTACGGCGACGAAGGTTGATGATACGCCTCCCACGCCCAGGTGGCGTCGGTGCCAGTCTGTCAAACTCCATTTGGTGCTTCGCCGGGATCAGGGGCCTGAAATCATAATATATGAACGTCGCCTTTCAGAAAAGAATCTCATTAATTCTATGTCAGTCAACTTTCCTCTCACAATACAATGAGAAGATAATGTATTTTATATCTGTCAGGCCACTTTTCATGTGGAAGGGAGACAACTCTTGAGTGGGAGGCCGGCCCTTTTTTTCCACCTTACATATACATGTACATACACAACAAAACCTCAATATAATGCCCCTCATTACATTTGCCACGTACCTTGTTTGCCGCTATCAGATTTTTAGTTTTCTTTAGAATTCCTTTATACTTTTCCCTCAATTTATCACAAAACCCTTTTATAACGCCAAAATTTCTCAGGAGAAATCATGGCAGTATAACGAGGTTTTACTGTACAGTTCAAATAATCACTAGAAATGCAAAAAAAAAAGAAATTGTGTACGTGGATACAGAATGCTGAAGAAAGTAAATTTTTCACCACCATATCAAATATAGTCATTTTGCCCATTCAGGACGTCATATCAGAGGTAAAAGGTACTAAAAATATAAATCCATGTCTACATAAGTGTTCTGAAACATATGTAAAGATACCCTGCATGAGGGAAAAGGTGTCTTTAAAACCATTTATAACATCACAAATTTACAATTTTTGAATACAATTGATAATTTAATACAATATGTATTTCATGTTTCTTTCAAAATAAACATAAACCTATTATCAGAGCTACATTATACTTCAATACATATTGCAGCGATTTACTGTTGAGAAACACGATTTCTTGTTTCTCCGAACATGATTAAATGAGGAGAAACAAAGAATCCTAATTCCCTACTGCAAGGGCAATAACTATTTTAAGTATGCTGAAAAAAAACCCAAAAAGGAATAAAAAGCAATAACACAATGGAAGAGATTATCAGGTTGACGCGCCCTTGTTGTCGTCTGTTCCTTCATTCGGAACTAGGGTGTGTGAGGGTGACATTATGTTTTATTGCCCAGTCATGTTACCAGTATCATCCAATCAGACACGTACGCTGTTATAAAGATAAGGTATAATAATAGGTTTTTCTTCACCTGTGTATTTGTTGCGGCAGACGTTTAACCCAACAAAACTCCGAGTGGAATCTGTGGATCCAATTTTCTGTCTCAACAGCCCGAATCTTTTCCTGACGTTTTTTTTCTGGGTCTGAGCAACAATCCATTTTAGTACACAAGGATTGCAATGTAAGTTGTATTTTCTCAGAACAGCATTGCTCCCGAAAAGCTCCCAATAAAAATCTATTTTAATATTGAACAAAGTTTGTCCACAGTCCACAATAACGTCGGGGAATTGATGGCTATATGGTCATCATTTATAATCCATTTTAACATAAAAATAGTTTGTCAAAAGTTTGTCAAGAGTTTGACCCATGCAACAATCAGCCATTTTATTACAGGGTATGGATACAGATCAGTCGTCCCAGTAAAACTTCGTTTTAACAGAATAAGGCCTTTAAAGCTTCCAACAGATCAAATTAACGAATTGTAGCCAAGCTGAGACAGTTTAACATTTTAAATTTTTCCCAAGAATAGTTCCATGTCATTTAAAACCATTGATTAATGATATACCAAACAATTACTGACTTTCATCAATAAAGTATTTCTTTACACACTAATACTATATACCAGATTAATGATAATGCGATTTCTCATTAGGAACAATACCATCCTGAAGAATCAAAGATTTCGGTTCTGTACAGTTCGCTGATGAATATAATGTTACAACCTGTTTGCACCGTTGCACCTGATTTCGTGACAAACATGGAGCAAGGAAAGTACATAGCACCCTTAAAGCATAACAAGGTATATGCTATTTTAACAGTCGTGCATGAACCGACCAGTATGTTTTGCGACGAAGCACCAGTTTATGTGCCTGCTTGCTGCTTCTGTAATTAACAGACAGTTGCATAATATCCAAATCGGAGACGTTTTTCTTCCCCAAGCACAGAAGAAAATAAACACCACAGCGAAATGTCTTATCTTCAACTGTCTGGCAGCTGTTTCACACCTTGTCTTTTTTTTTTAAATTTCAGTCAGAAATTTAAACTGAGGAACAAGTAACTTGTATTTTCAAAATATCACAACATAATCCACATTTTTAGGAAGACATCGATATTCTATTTCCATCACACTTGACATTAAATCCACGCAGCCAGCTAGCAGCCATGCATGCTACCTTTACCGTTACTTTGATCAAAGTCTTGATCTCCGGAAACAAAACCTGCCAAACAATTACTGACCTTCATCAATAAAGTATTTGTATACACACACTAACACTATAAAGTGGAGTCAGCACCCCTAGACTCCGACCTACTGACCATTAAGCAACAGATGTATCGTCATTAAGTCCTACAGTACCATATTTCACCTGATGAAACCCCAAGGGAAATAACTCACGTCCTTTCAAAGGGATAGAATGGGCAACATACCTTTTTTTTATATTTCACCCTCTATATGTAACATTTATTCAAAATATCAAACTGTATTTCTTAAAATTCTTAAAAAAACAAGGAATAATTCTGAAGGGTGGTTTGCGTGGGTTTGATTATAAGCATGGGCTATCTATGGATTAAATACGGTAAGTATCCAGCTCTGGGTCTATCAATGTCTCTGGGTATGAATAATTTACTTCACCCAAGCATAACAGTCCATAAATGACAATCTTGAAGAATTCATTCGTTTTGAAATACTTCTGTTTTAAACTTGTTGTAATTGATCACAATATCTATGGTGGTATCAATCCCTGTAACAGCTAGTTTATGGGAAATTTTATGTAGAGGAGATAGTTGTAATTAAGAACAATGGGCCTGCATCGCTCACCTGGTATTAATCTCACACTTGTTATCTTAATAGTGGAATAAATAGCAGCTACAGGCAGAATATCAGTATTTGATTGATAAGAACCTATTAAAAGATTTAAACATATGACGCCTGTGACCTCTAATGTCGAACAAGGACATTAGGTTGAAAGTGGGAAAAGGTCATTCATTTGAACAAACTTGGTAGCCCTTCATCCCAGCTTGCTACAGGCGCAATATCAGTACCCTCTGCCTTTTGGTTATCGAGAAGAAGTTGTTTGAAGATTTTAACACATTTGACTCCTGTGACCTTTAAAGTTGGTCAAGGTCATTCATTCAAACAAACTTGGTAGCCCTTCATCCCAGCATGCTACTGGCCCAATATCAATACTCTGGGCCTTTTGGTTATTGAGAAGAAGTCGTTTGAAGATTTTCAGACATTTGACCACTGTGACCTTGAAAGTGGGTCAAGGTCATTCAATCGAACAAACTTGGTAGCCCTTCATCCCAGCATGCTACAGGCCCAATATCAGTACCCTCTGCCTTTTGGTTATCGAGGAGAAGTCGTTTGCAGATTACGACATTTGACCCCTGTGACCTTGGAAGTGGGTCGAAGTTATTCATTTGAACAAACTTGGTAGCCCTTCATCCCAGCATGTTACAGGCCTACTATCAGTACCCTCGGCCTTTTGGTAATTGAGAAGAAGTTGATTGAAGATTTTAAGATATTTGACCCCTGTGACCTTGAAAGTGGGTCAAGGTCATTCATTTGAACAAACTTGGTAGCCCTTCATCCCAGCATGCTACAGGCCTAATATCAGTACTCTGGGCCTTTTGGTTATTGAAAAGAAGTTGTTTGAAGATTTTCAGACATTTGACCCCTGGGACCTTGAAAGTGGGTCAAGGTCATTCAATCGAACAAACTTGGTAGCCCTTCATCCCAGCATGCTACAGGCCCAATATCAGTACCCTGGGCCTTGAGGTTATTGAGAAGAAGTTGTTTGAATATTTTAAGATATTTGACCCCTGTGACCTTGAAAGTGGGTCAAGGTCATTTAATTGAACAAACTTGGTAGCCCTTCATCCCAGCATGCTACTGGCCAAATATCATCAGCCTGGGCCTCTTGGTCATTGAGAAGAAGTTGTTAAAAGTAAAAAGTTGATGCCGGGCGGCCGACGGACGGACAACGGACGCCGCACCATGCCATAAGCTCACTTGTCCCTTCGGGCCAGGTGAGCTAAAAACCTTTGATAATTAGTTATACATGATAAATTAGGTTACTTAATTGTTTTCTCACCTGTGACCTACATGTATATGTGAATAAATATACCTGTCTGCTACAGGTGTGTCTGAACTAAAACTCATACGATACATGGTACACAAATGAACAACCTTTCACCTGTACACCTGAATTAGGACACACAAATTTAACATAACCATTCCTGTCCAAACCTGTGGAGTACTCATAAAAAGGTACATAACTCTGGGGTATCTACATATGTATCTACCTGTTTCAACCTGTTATTTATCTAACTGTATACACCTGTGATATGTCAACCTGTATACATATGTGATGTATCTACCTTTATACACATGTGATGTATCTACCTGTTTACACCTGTGCTGTGTCAACCTGTTTTCACCAGTGATGTGTCAACCTGTTTACACCAGTAATGTATCAACCTGTATACACATGTGATGTATCTACCTGTTTACATCTGTGATGTGTCAACCTGTTTACACCAGTGATGTATCAACCTGTATACACATGTGATGTATCTACCTGTTTACCCCTGTGATGTGTCTACCTGTATACACATGTGATGTATATCTACCTGTATACACCTGTGATGTGTCTACCTGTATACACCTGTAATGTATCAACCTGTATACACATGTAATGTATCTTCCTGTTTACACCTGTGATGTATCTACCTATTTACACCTATGATGTATCTACCTGTTTACACCTGTGATGTATCTACCTGTTTACACCTGTGATGTATCTACCTGTATACACCTGTGATGTATCTACCTATATATATGTGGTGTATCTACCTGTATACACCTGTGATGTGTCTACCTGTATACACTTGTGATGTATCTACCTGTATATACCTGTAATGTATCTAACTACATACACCTATGATATATCAACCTGTATACACCTGTGATGTGTCTACCTGTATACACCTGTAATGTATCTACCTGTATACACCTGTGATGTATCAACCTGTATACACCTGTGATTTATCAACCTGTATACACCTGTGATGTATCAACCTGTATACACCTGTGGTGTGTCTACCTGTTTACACCTGTGATGTATCTACCTGTTTACACCTGTGATGTATCTACCTGTATACACCTGTGATGTATCTACCTATATATATGTGGTGTATCTACCTGTATACACCTGTGATGTGTCTACCTGTATACACATGTGATGTATCTTCCTGTTTACACATGTGATGTATCTACCTGTATACACCTGTAATGTATCTAACTACATACACCTATGATATATCAACCTGTATACACATGTGATGTGTCTACCTGTATACACCTGTGATGTATCTACCTGTATACACCTGTGATGTATCAACCTGTATACACCATGTAATGTATCTTCCTGTTTACACCTGTGATTATCAACCTGTATACACATGTGATGTGTCTACCTGTATACACTTGTGATGTATCTACCTTCATACACCTGTGATGTATCTACCTGTATACACCTGTAATGTATCTAACTACATACACCAATGATATATCAACCAGTATACACCTGTGATGTGTCTATCTATATACACCTGTGATGTATCTACCTGTATACACCTGTAATGTATCTACCTGTATACACCTGTGATGTATCAACCTGTATACACCTGTGATTTATTTACCTGTATACACCTGTGATGTATCTACCTGTATACACCTGTGATATATCTACATGTATACACCTGTGATATATCTACATGTATACACCTGTGATGTATCTACTGTACATGTGTACCTGTTTATATCTTTTCGGTATCCACAATGTATCTTTGTATATTTTTGGGGTACATGTATATACCTGTAGACACCTGCAAACAGTCTATAAACACAGGTAGGTCTGGTGTACATAATTGATGAAGGTAAGTTAATGATGCCTTAATTAGCAGTTAACTCTTACTTGTCAGTTCTATCAATATTTACCTAACTCATCTGCAGGGAGCCATAATAGGGAATATCTAGCCTTAACGAAGTAATCCCCAGGTATATTTTTTTTTAAATACAGGTAAAACAGACCTCCTGGATCACCGACTCGATAGGAGCTTGTTATATCTAGTGCACTAAAAAGTTATCAATATCTTATTATGGTTAGTCTCATTATCAAACAAATTTGACCTTGTTGCATATTTAATTTTCAATAGGTCTGAGACAGCAAACATATAACTTATATATTTATCACAAGCTAACTTGGGGTTTAAGTTATTCAAAACACTTTCTGAGTTTTGTTCATACTTTTACAATGGAAGTGTGATTGTCACAATAATTGTATACATGGCAAAAAAAGAAATCTTGAATTTGCAAGCAAAATTGAAAAGCATATAACAAAATACATAACATTGTGCATGTACCTTTTATCACTGACTTTCTGTTTCTTTAGAAACTTGGGTAGTATGTCTACTTATATTAGAGTTACCGCCCATGATTATTCCGTCTTTTCGTATTGCAGAGTTATCTTCTCTTGTGAGCAGGTATTGATTGTTACGTCATTGGTTTGTGTGAGAAAATTACGTCGTTTTCTCAGAAATTGATGACGTTACTCTCACAAACCAATGACGAAACAATCAATACCTGCTCACAAGAGAAGATAACTCTGCAATACGCAAAGACGGAATAGTAAACATATCATATTTATATTTTGCACACATCTAAGTATGTGAACTAACGTTTCTGTGTCTATTCATGTGGACATTACGTATACTTATTGTTTCATTTGAGGTGTATATATGTCTTAGGCCAAAAAAGGTGTTTGTTTCCGGTTAGCCTTTCTACTCATATTTTTTATGCCTACCCCAATTATTTTGACAATTTTCAGGGAAAGAACTGTTAAAGTCAACATTACTATCTTCTATAAATAAACATTATAAAAAAAATAAAAAATATATATTTATAACCTTCATTCCTTTTATAATCTTTTCAGACATACAACAGGGAACAAACTGGTTTTTTTGTTTTGTCTTATCATAAGTTATGTTATGCTGCAATATTATTAATAATTGTTAACTCATTCACCCCTGAAGACATTTGAACTCTTCCAATTCAACAGTTGGAATAGTTCGTTATGAAATTTCAGGGGTGAATGAGTTAATATGATACTTGAATTTGGTATCAGTGCTGTAATATAACTTCAAGCTGTTGTACTACGTACTTTTAACAAAGGGACGTAACTCCAGAATTCAGAAGGTAACTCTAATTTACAGTAAATATACTTCATTACTGCCCCCTCTATTCTTTCAAAATGGTGCAGTACTTCAGGAGGCATAGCTGTGCAAATAATATCCCTTCTACAGACAGGCGGACAGACAAAAAGCAGACGGGCAGCCGATTCCAGTATAACCCTGCATGTCCCCTTAATTATATAACTTTGTTGTGGGGCATAAGTGAGTACACAGTTTTTCTGACAGATTTTACGAGTCTCAAATCAGCCTGGTTTCAAAACATATTTCACAATAGATTTCAAAACAGATTTCACCATCAAAACTGTTTTTCACAAAAGGTTTCACAACTGATAATTTGTATGTATTATATAGATAACACAGATTTCATGGGATTTTTTCTCTGTGACTTCTTACCTCACAAACTCAAACACCTCCATTTTGAGGGGGTCATCAAGTACAGTCTTCAGGTCTTGTACCAATCGCTGAAGTTCTGTGGATCTGTTAAAGTACAGAGAACTACATACAGTAAATTTCATTAACACAGTAAAATAATGAAGCTGTCGTTTTAACATACTTCTCCATTATTTTATGATTACTGATTACCGGAAAACATCCCCCCAGTAAAACTATTGTCCTTTTCCCATAAATTCAATTTTTGCCCAATGTAAATTTCTCCTTTCTCACATTGTCTACCTATATTTGCTGTAATTGATAAATTTGCCCTTGTTACATCCTCGAACCCATGAACGAAAACATTGGTCAGATCTTGTGTTGTAAAGCAATTACATTCAGCAAAAAAAGGAGAAGCATGAAATACCAGCAAGATTTTCAAGATGGCTACAGTATTGAAGCCTCGGATTTTGAATATCAGACCAGTCTAATATGGACTGACTAGTGCCACAGGTCCAAACCAAATATCCCAGTGAAAACCCTGTGTCAATGGGATTTTCTACTCCTACCATTTCTGTATCTCTTGAAAGTGCCATGTAAATTTGACATGCATCTCTTGTCTTCAGACCGCCATCTCTAACTTATGATTTGTATCTCTTGAGAGCACCATTTCTCTTACCCTGGACAGGTGTATCCACACTTTTCCTGGTGTGAGATATATCCTACTCTTCTCCATTAGAAAGAGATATCCACACTTTTCCTGGTGTGAGATATCCTTTTCTTCTCCATTAGACAGAGATATCCACACTTTTCCTGGTGTGAGATATATCCTACTCTTCTCCATTAGAAAGAGATATCCACACTTTTCCTGGTGTGAGATATCATTTTCTCCTCCATTAGACAGAGATATCCACACTTTTCCTGGTGTGAGATATCCTTTTCTTCTCCATTAGACAGAGATATCCACACTTTTCCTGGTGTGAGATATCATTTTCTCCTCCATTAGACAGATATCCACACTTTTCCTGGTGTGAGATATATCCTTTTCTTCTCCGTTAGACAGAGATATCCACACTTTTCCTGGTGTGAGATGTCCTTGTCTCACCCTAGGGTTGAGACAGGGTGGGATTTCCCTATTCATTACAATTCTGTGACGTCACATCAACAATGCATTAACGTCAACCCTGAATTTAGCCTGTAACATTAACATTACATTTTGTATATGATACACAATGGGTGAACAGGGTAGGAGAAAAAGAATCATTCACTTCCCTGAGGTGAAATTGGAAATCTCAACCCTCAGGGAAAGATTCTCAAGTTGCCAAACTCTCGGCAGAGCCTCGTGTTTGGCAACATAAGTTTTTTTATTTTCCCCCTCGGGTTGATATTTCCCTCGTGTTTGGCAACATAAGATATTTTGTTTTCCCCCTGGGTTGATATTTCCCTATCACATCCCCAAAGGGGGTGAAAGATTCTATCAATCTGTACTTACGATTTGTATCTCTTGAGAGCATCAAATACCACATCTCTGTCCTTGACGGGAACCAAGTCATTTACCTGTAACAAGCCATGAGAACAGATATCAGAATGACAGATACAAAATTATCTGTAACGATGAGAACAACATAGAAATACCAGCACATATCAAACTGTCAGGTAATTTAACTAATTCATCCCTACATAATCAAACTGGACTTGCCCAGTCTTTGATTCGGTAAGGTTCAAATGTGACTTTAGGGGTGAATAGGTTAACCTGTAACCTGTATCTTTTCTTTTATTACGAACACAAAATAACTTAGACACTAGTTTTATTTTAGCTATTTTTAGTTACATTCCTATGTATTTTAATTTTTTTCATTATTCATTATTTAGGGTGGTCGGTAGGCACAGTGCATAACACACTCGCCTTACACCAAGGCGGCTGGGGTTCAATTCCCCCGATTCAATGTATGGGGTCATCCGCACTAAGACCCCCCCCCCTGTGTGCTAACATTTTGGGCCAACAAGACTTATTTATATAAGCTGTAATAATTTGTTTCATAACTTTGGAAAAATATATAAAGCTGATATTCTATATTTAAGGATGGATGTATAATTTTTACTAAACACCCTTTTATTAATCTTCACAAAAAAAAGTCGTAGTGACAACATAGATCCAATATAATGACAGTAAAGTCGTAGTGACAACATAGATCCAATATAACGACAGTAAAGTCGTAGTGACAACATAGATCCAATATAACGACAGTAAAGTCGTAGTGACAACATCGATCCAATATAACAACAGTAAAGTTGTAGTGACAACATAGATCCAATATAACGACAGTAAAGTCGTAGTGACAACATAGACCCAATATAAGTACAGTAAAGTCGTAGTGACAACATAGATCCAATAAAACGACAGTAAAGTCGTAGTGACAACATAGATCCAATATAACGACAGTAAAGTCGTAGTAACAACATAGATCCAATATAACGACAGTAAAGTCGTTCTATCTGTTACATCAGAAACAGGGACAAAGTTACCCCTGAGGTATTTGCATTTTCAATTATTCCCCTTAATGAGAGTTAATCTAATGCTTTTGAACTCTGTGTACTCGGGTAGTTAGTAGTGTAATTGGTTCAACTACCAATCTCAGGGACATCTAACGTGTGCCCTACAAATGTTTAATTACCACAGGGTCTGAAAAATAATTGTACAAACGTTGATCTGTGACCGTCATGGGTAACCCTTGGTGTAAAACTTGTATCCATGTCATCTTGACAACCCAATGACAGTGCAAATAGATACGTAAGCACATTGGAACCTGCCTTAAAACAACCTGCATATAAAGGCCACTTGTGTATAAATACCACCTCTAACATACCGAAGTTAATCTGTGTAAAAAGACCACCTGTATATTGGAGACCATCTGCCTTAAAGACAACCTGTGTAAAAAGACCACCTGTATTCTGGAGACAACCTGCCTTAAAGACAACCTGTGTAAAAAGACCACCTGTATATTGGAGACCTGGTCTGCCTTAAAGACAACCTGTGTAAAAAGACCACCTGTATTCTGGAGACAACCTGCCTTAAAGACAACCTGTGTATAACGAACACCTGTCCATAATAACAACACAAACACCCCAAAAGTTTCTCTTGATAACAATGCAACCTCCCTATAAATAATCTGTGTATAACAGTCACCTCGCCCACCTGTGTATGACAGTCACCTGCCTATACATCTAACATGTAAATACCCATCAATGGTGAGTTCAACAGTATACAATGATATTTCTATAACAGTCACCTCGCCCACCTGTCTATAACAGTCACCTGCCTTTAGTCAACAACTAAGCATATAAATCCCCTAAAATGAGGTCGTCTACAATACAAAATAATCTGTAACAGTCACCTAACAGTCAATTGCTTTTATTCACCAACTAAACATATAAATACCCTTAAATGAGGTCGTCTACAGTGTAAAATAGCCTGTCTATAACAGCCACCTGTCCATATACAGTCACCTCCCTATAACTACATGTAACATATATATACATACAGTACCAACCATGTCTATATATGAATAACTAAAACAGTCTATTAATTAAGCCATGCATGTTTATCTCCCTTGGGTGGTCTTCACAAAATGGTTTGACCTTCTGATTTGTTTGCCTTTGTTTTTCGAGGTTAATTACTGAATATTCTACTAATTACTTTCTTACGACCCAACAGACTGTGGGACTCAATTATTCAAACTTCATTCTCATGTTTGAGTTACCTACCGACTTTGTGTGTTACAATATAATGTCAACAACAAACAGCCTTGGAACCTTGCCAATCCTGCCAAGGACATTCGTTATCGCTTATTAGCAATTATAAAAAAAAAAAATATTCAGAGAAAGAATACCCAGCACTTATTAATTTTAATTCATGATAAATTATTCAATGCAGTGATGATGATATTGGCACCAAACACACATGCAATATGTATATACACAGCGTGATTAAAGCCTTTTGGAATGTTTAAAATGGTTAAAAATGTACAATTCATCTCAAGTAATTTATTTTTTTAATTTTCTCCTGAAAGGCCAAATTAAGAATACACATGCAAAGCTCCATCAAGATGAGATTAACTGAAGAGATAAAATTCATTAAAATAGTCTCCAGGTCATCAATAATTTAGTGTAATGTTATAACAAATAAAGCACTACATTCACTTAACCCTCTGATACTAATATACTGTTTGTTGCCTTCAGAATTCCATGTGATGAATTTCTGAAATGGCTACAGCTATATTTTCTGGTTACTGACCAAATCGTCAGAAATAGAGTTTGTCTCCCCCATTCTATATTTTCTATCTTAATGGTCAAATCCCTTTTATCCAGCCTCTTGTGATCCTGATCGCCACCTTTTCAGCTGTCCCACTATCAATTCACCTCGAATTCTGATCTGTTTTGGTTTGGTTTAGTTGTGTTTTACGGTCTATTAACATGTACAGCTATGGTCACTTAAGGACGTGCCAAGTTTTGGTAATGGAGAAAAGCTGAAGTTCCCGGAGAAAAACCACTGACCAACAGCCAGTACCTGGCAACTGCCCCATGTAGGTCTCGAACCCGCGACCAAGTGGTGGAGGTCTAGCTAGTGGTAGCAGAACGTCAGACGCCTTAACCACTTGGTCACCATGGCCCCTACTCTAATCTGTAATTTCTACAATTTTTAGTCACCACAAATCATTGGTTGTTCCACTATCCTGTCACCACTATCTGGTTTTCTTACCTACCGTATTTGATCACAAATAACCCCACTATCGCAAATAAGCCCACTCTCACAAATAAACCCACTCTCGCAAATAAGCACACTCTCCACTTTGGCAAATGTCCTGGGAACAGGGTGGGTGCCTGCAATTAATCCCCTTCCCTAATTTTGTCTCTCTCTCAAAAGAAAAGTCTGTAAATTTTTGTCTCTGGACATTAGCAAATAATTAAGCTAACTGTTGATCCAGCCACCACTAAACTGGCGGTCCATAGGGATTTATTATCTCTTTTTAATTTTTAATTTGTTGAGGGTTGGGGTGTGGGAACTCATTTAAGAAATTACAAAAATCACCAATCATAGTTATTCAGACCAAGTCTATTCATTTTTCATTTTATTTTTTAGGTCTTTTAAATAATAATATGGGATTTAAATTCGATTTTGATATACCTGCCCTCGAAATAGAGGTGTCATAAAGACGCTTAAAAAATTACAAAAATCACCAATCATAGTTATTCAGACCAAGTCTATTCATTTTTCATTTTATTTTTTAGGTCTTTAAAATAATAATATGGGATTTAAATTCGATTTTTATATACCGGCCCATGATAATAGAAAGGTGTTATAAAGACTCTTACAATTTTCAGCATGTTCAAATGGGACGTTTAAGTGCATTCAAGTGAGAAAAAAATATGTTGGAGTCGGAGGCGAAAACTAGGATCAGTTAGGGTACCTGAAACATACCGGTAAAAAAAATAGTTTTGGCCTTATAGTTTTGTTATCACATTGATGATATTTCTAAATGTCTAAATTTGATTTACCTAGAATGTGTTTGTAATTCTACAAGTCTACCTGCAGGGAGAAGAATTAGTCTTATAGCGAAGGTTAACATATTCTATAATCAAATTCATGCGAGTGCTCAGTTATACATCATTGAATTTGTTTTTACGGTCAATTAACTTTCCCTTTTAAATTTTTAATAATTTAATGCAATCATTATTTCTATAGCTACATTTACCATCAATTTAGTTTTCAATGACTAGTAATGTGAATTCATATCAGCATTTTTTTGTTGAAAATGAGATCTCGTAAAATAAGTTTTACCAACATGCACTTGTTAAGTACTAAATAATGCAGTGTCCATTTCATTTTGATTTAATTTCTATGACTATTAACACCTGTGTCCCCCCTTAAAACTGTAAATGAACTAGTACATTTCTATATATTTAGTGCTTTTGCAGGTGTTTTGTAATGGGTTATTTTAAGACAGAAAGGGGTATTTTGGAAATGGGTTCGTAATTTGGGAAGAATTAAGGTTAACGGAATTGCGGTTAATGGTAAAAAGATTTTTGTACTTATCTTTTTTTAGGTATCATTTAAATTGGAAATTTCATTCTGGAAATGTGTAAAACTTAATAATGCACAAAGTAGCTATTTCCTTTATTAAACTGCCGAATGTATTGTTAGATCAATGAATTTTAGCTTATTTATTTGTATTCCATCATTATTATTCTGGTTTATTTTTATCAGTGTTTAACATCCTCGCAACAGGCAGGATTACATGGAGATATTGGTGGCCAGGGAAACACATCCAGATAGAGCAGACACAGGAGAAAGAAAAAAAAAACAAAAAAAACCCCATATGTATATACTGTAAATTGAAATTAACATTAAAATGGGTCCTTTTTTTTTCGATTAAAAAAAGTCCCTTGAAACGGAAGTTGAAAGTACGAAGCCAATGAGATGGGGTATGAGATTTTTTTTATAATACCTCATGATCAGTGTGTCTGTTTGGATGATACTAGTCTCATGGCGGGCCAATAAAACACCATGCCGCGCGCTCTCTCTAGAAAAATTGGCAACAGCTATATAACAACCTAGTTAGGAATGATGGAGGCAGACGACAAAAATTGCTGTGCCGATGTTGTCCCGTCATCATTGCTACTAGAATCCAGACTGAACGCATATGTGTATCATATTATGTACATGTAATATTATAATCTTAGCAAGCTACTGAAAGTCAAGTGGAACTGAAATATCTTCAGCAGAACATTTGAGCTACCATATGGCAAATTAACTCATTCACCCCTGAAATTTCATAATGAACTATTCCTTTGAATTGGAAGAGTTCAAATGTGTCTTCAGGGGTGAATGAGTTAAGTCACTGAAATCTGAAGAATTTATTAGCATTTATTAAAGGCAAACAATTGATTTTTTCCAGTCTTCATTAGCAAACATTGATATTTAAAATAAACTAATTAAGGGCCGTAACTCTGTATATGGCCATGACACACCGCAGTCCCAGGAGGTACACAAAATTGGCAATTGTAGGTAACAGAGAATAATTTCTCCAATAACCACTTTAGGTTTCCTCACTCCTGACTCATTGAATATTTCAACCTACTAGGAGTTGGGAAACAGTTTTGGTTACCCACTAGTGGGTAAAACCCTGGACATTATCTCATTGGTCAATCTTCTAATAATGACGTCATGTAACATTGCTTTGCGACGTCATCTTCAATAGTGATGTCATGGTTCATGACAATTGTACACATGTGTCCCCGATGAGAAACAGGAATAATGTACATATGGTCCAACTATCGATATCAGAACGTTGTGGGAGAAAAAGGTCCCTTAACTCATGAAGGTTGATTATCATTCTTATCTAATTCGAATTTGTATAATTGTATATGAATTTTTAAAAGAAAATAATTGTAAAAGACATTCGGTAAACATTTTGTCCTTTAACAAACATGATAACAACCACCGGTTGTTGGGGAACCTCTATGTGACCCATACAAAACCAGGGGCCTGTTCGTTTATGCGGAACAACCGGTTTGTCCGTCTTTTAATGTAACATTTTCGGGTATAAATTCTGACAGACCTGCAAATGTTTATGCAGGCCTTGCAAGGCTTTGTAAAGGCTTTGTAAAGGCTCGGCTGAAAGCAGCATCAGATTACTATGTCCAACCTTATTTGATAAGCGAACAACGTTGATCCAACCGGTTCAACCGTTTAAACGAAAACGGCCCAAGAATGCTGAAAGAAGGGACATAACTCTGTATATGGAGTGAAACAAGACACAATTTAATTTCAGTGTAGGACATAGGGTCATGCCAAGAAGTACTCGCATACCAAATTAAGAAAATGTATGAAGGTGACAGACAATATGTAAATGAGATACACCCCAGACAAAGTGACACACTGATTAACTGATTAGTGGAAAAAGTGACCAATAAATGGAGGGGAAAAAGGCCCTGGAATTTAATTTGGGAAGGGGCGTTTTTGTTCCATTTTGGGAAGGAAATATACCAATTGGAAAGGAAATTTTCAGGACTTAACTGCAGATTTTTGGAATTAGGCATACATATGAAAAAGTTTCAATTACAGTCCCCAAAAAGTCCTGATAGAAAAACACTGAATTCATATCCTTAGTGGGAGGTTAAATTGTCAAAAAAAGTAATTGACATTTTAAAAAAAAACACCATTATACAGAAGTGTTACAATTTTATCACCATACCATTTCAAGATGCATGTTAAAATATTCCTGCGTTTCGAAGTAATAGCGGGAATATTTGTCTTGTCTGTAAGTATAAGTCAGGGGTGTAATTACAGGTGGACGAAGTCAGATCCGGTCAGCCAATCAGATTGTTGGCATGTGCATTGTCGTGGGGATGCGATGGTACGTGAGTAGGTGCGCCACTTTTCTAGCGCCTTGGTCGCAGTGCCACGTTATATTTTTTGTACTCAGAATATTTTTCACACACAGGTTTAAAAAAAAAAAAAAAATTGATTAGGTTTAGATCAGTTTTTGTTGTGTTTCCATATGGCAGTGTTTAAGAAGCAGTATAGTTTTATGTAGAATCCGAGATTTTTTGAAGCATAAGTATTCAGGTCTGGTGCATCTCCTGTAGTCCCAGAAGGGTTTCAGGTTGGGTGGCTTGGCTTGGTTTCTTGGTTCAGAGAATTGTTTTGATTAACTGCTATACTAATAGGTTTTTATAAGGTATGGGAAGGAGAACGGGGGAAAAGGATGCGAGTATATTGTGTTAAGGGTGTATGGTTGATAGTAATAGGCTAATGTTGTGCTACACTCATTAAAATGCATCTACTGCGCGCAACAGCTGGCTTGTCAGGCAAACGTACAGATGCGTTTGTTGTTTTCTGACGTACGTAGTATAGAGAAGACATATACATGTATACACATACCCTTGTTTCAAGCATATTAAAAGATTAAATGTTTTCATAAATCAAATATCATATTTATGACTATACGATAGCATAGTTATTACATACCTTTTTGGCAAAATCACCACCAGCATTTGACTTCGCCATTTTACTTCCGGTATGATTTATACAAGATATAATATTATTCAATAAAATGCTGATTTTAATATTATCATGACATTAAAATTTTAAACTAACGCTTCACTTAAGTGACCTGTGTCATGCAATGATCCGTTGCCGTTGGTAGAAATATTTGATCAATACTTAACATTAGAAAATCTAAAGAGGAGAGTTGGTATGCAGTGTTTGTGTCCCAATAGGCGGTCTATATTACTTCTGTGTAATTTTCTTATCAATGGCTACAACAAATAAAGGGAGATAACATTTCTACTGATCTTAGCTCGTACTCTGTATAATGTGCTTTTTAACCACCGTCTAGGATAGGCACAAGGAAGTTTTGCTGTCAAGTGTAGATTGAGTACTTATTTTTTCATATATTTTTTTTATTATTGTTATTATTTTTTTATTAGGCCATCTTTAAAAAAAATCTATGTTTTTTCAACTTCACTACAAAAAAATACACTACCCAAACTGTTTTGGGGACTTTTAATGGTTTTCCTCAGTTTCATGAAACAAAAAATTCCTGCAAGTTTGATTTCCCTATAGAGGGTTACTTACATATATTTTGTTTATTAGGGTAACTCCTCACTTCATGTAAAATTGTCACTCTATTTAAATTTGTGAAATTATGGACTGAAACTTGCATAAAAAAAAAATATCGTTCTTTTTATAAAAATGTAAATTAACCCTATGTATTCCAGAAATCAATTATGTTAATTATGAATAGATTATATTTATGTTGGTCCAAATTTTAATTTACAAAGCCGTCCCGAAATAGACTTCAGGCCTAAATCTATATAAAATTAAGCGAAAACCTTTAGTTTTTTTCTACAGGGATCCCCATACCACTGCCAAAAACTGTAGCAAAGTGTTGGAAACTGTTTTTCTGTCATTATTATAGATTTGATAAATCATTTCTGGAAAGAAAACCACGTCTTGCGGGTCGTTTATGAGAAATAATAAAGATTAAATACATTGTAGATCAAAGATAATCAACAACAGTGTTCCGAGTTTAAAAAATCAGGTGGGCTAGACCGAGATTTGAACCCTGGACTTCAGATTGGTATACCAATTGCGCTACCTTGTCAACAGAAGTGTCCTAGCTGGCCCAACTGTGCTACGGTTAAATCCAAACGGAAGTAAAGGGGAGGTTACTCATGCAAATAAAAAACATGACAGTGCAGTGGGAAGGACAGGGATCCTTAAATACATTTAATATTATTTTATTAACTCATTCACCCCTTAAATTTCATGATGAACTTTTCCAACCTTTGAATTGGAGGAGTTCAAATGTGTCTTCAGGGGTGAATGAGTTAATTATAAGAAATACTATTTTAAACCACTCTTATCATTTCATTTATTTGCGTCTGGTGTTCAATACTAATAAAATCATGCAGGAAATACATGAACACCACTGATCCCCCTCAGTGACCACTTAAAAAATGTTATCACCAATTCTGTGGTCTCATATATATGACCTCAGAATTTAATCAAAATGCACAGATAAAAATCCATACTGATAAAATTTAACCAGTATTGACTACTACCTGCGACCACCCATGTATCACACCTGAGAATTTTATCTAGGAAATTATGTAATTTAAATATCTTACTTTAGGAAATTTTTGTGACATGGATGTATTGATTTCTTCTCCACAGGGACCTGAGAATTTGTAACAACCATATATCTGGACTGAAACTGAGGTGTTCACAGTAATTTGACTTGTCATAGGGGTTTAGATCAATTCCATCATTTTCTGTAAAAATGCCACCTAGCGATGGTATATTATATACACCATATACCAAAATTGATCTAAATTAACCCCTTAAATGTGTAAAACTACTCTAAACACCTCAGTTTAGGCTCATATTTTGCTGTAACAAATTCTCAGGTCCCTGTGTTCTACTCTTAAAGAGTTACCCACAAAGGAACCTGTAAGACATCGTATAGGAAATGTAGCTACCTTCATTTTCACCTGATGGCAAATGAAATGTTAATAAAAATGTGTAACTGCAGAATGGAAAAGTGAAATGGTCAGACCAGGATTTGATCGGAGGTCCTCCGAATTCTCCACGGATACTATAACCAAAGGACTATGTACCTTATCACCAGCGATTGATCCAGGCCTATTCTAGCAGCTACTTTAAAAAAGACACACCAGACCCTTTACAACTTCCAAGGAATATATATATTCAATATAGGCCAAATGCATCAGGAATTGGAAAATTGATGCAACAGAATGCAGAGATTTAAAACTGGGACTTCCAAACTATAGATGGAACGGATCTTTACCTTGTCACAAAGTCCCCACAATCCTGCTGGCCAACTTGGGAGCTACATTTGTAGGTCGACAATTTTTTTTTGTGTTAATGAAAAAGAGAAGCAAATTACATGAGGAATCGGAAATAATTTCTGTCCTCTTGTTCACAAATGCAAATCCTACATCAGCTAGACTGCAGAATAAAAGAAAATATAGGATCCATAGGTGGTTTTTTTATAAATATTTCTCTTGAAAAATAATTAAATTTGGTGAGTGCAGAATATACATTGATTAATACATTGTGCAAACAATTTAGGTATTGATTGTTAAATGAATTTTTGTTGCAGAAAAACTGGAAATGTTAAAGTTTTGTTTACAAAGTGATTCTGTGTTATATAAGTCATGCATACATGTGTTAAATGCTGCCAGCCATATACAGTACACACATTTTTTTTCTTACCTTATTAATATTAATTCTCACTAATTTTGTACCTGTGCAATATGTGATACATGTAGTTCTTTTATAATCTTAAGATTATAACTTAACATTAAAATATTTTACTACAAAATTGATCAGCCATTAATTTCTTTCTTACCGTATAATAATTAATTAACAATAATAATTTGTCAAGTACAGCTAGGACATTTCAATTTTTTTAGTTTAAGTAAAAAGTTGAATAGTTTTCTTCTAACTAGACTAAATTATTTATAATGAACTTGTAAACATCAAAATCTTTCAACAAGAATTAAGATAACCGCCCAGGTTTTAACATTCTCGAATACAGTGAATTCTATCTGATGGCTTGTGCCTTTTTGGAGTGAGGATCAGTCTAAGAGCAGTGGGCTCTAGATCTAGAATTTTGAACTGAATTAAAGAAAACATCACTTTGAGTATTCTTTATATGGTAGCATTATATGCATGGGGTCTTTATACACAGGTGGTATTTAAAAAGGCAATCACACTTAAGATCACTGAATGATGAACTGTTTTACCACATTTGCACTGAATACTACAAGCCTATCTTGTATCTCTCACAATTCGATACAGAGTTACGGCCCTTAGATCATGTAACGTAAACAAAAACTCCATTCCTGCAATGATAAGGTATATATAATTTGCCAGAGTGGGGAGGCCTCGACGATTTTCTTAGCTGTGTATAGTCAAAGGCCTTGTACTTTATTTAAAATACACTATGAAACCTACATTTTTCAATAGCCTGCAGTAAATCTCTCCAGTACCTTTCTTATTTTACGATAGCTATATGACGCTATCAATGACACATACAGTGACATAGGCGATAAGCGAGTGTGGAGCTAGCTATATTCTATGAGAATTGGGTAATATTGAGTCTACGCTATTGACAATAACCATGCAGTTTCATTAATTACCTCTTGAATAAATCGTTTTACGACGTAATTCTCCTCTAGACTGTTATGGGTGGTCATGTTCAGGACTATCCTCTTTCGACTTGTCAAATACTACCACTTGACTCTCACCTGTGGGAAGATGCTTTGAACTTTGACCTTGTTTACCTGTGGTTTAACCAGCGCCATCTGTGATCAATGCGTATCTTATACTTCATACAATTTCATATCAGGCATTTGACGTTACCGCCGAAAAACGACTTGGGTGATCAGTCTTCTTAACATGATTATTTCATGTTGGATTTATTGAATTTCACTCTATAAATCGATTTTTTTCTATTAAATATTAATCCACACAACCATGAATGACTATATTCTGCATGGTAGGTGTAAATGTAGACTAGTACTAAGTATAGCCACTAACTTAGAATCTATAATTCCGTGGTATTTATAATTTCGGTTGTAAGTTATCAAAACCTTATATTGGACTTTTGACTACATTAATTTATTCAATTAGCGAAATAAAACAGTGAAATATGTATGTTTTATATGTTTTAAAAATCGCTTTCAAATATTGACTTTAGAAATTTATAATTTGCAGAAACATGTAATAGAAATGTTGATTGTAGTCATATTATACCAGAAAATTAGTCCAAACATCAAGCTTACTAATAGCACGGAATTCGATTAGATTTGTTATCTAAGTCCGTGCTAATAGAAAGCATTGACCCAGTGACGTCATATTGAAAGTTTTCAGGTGTGGGCGGACCAAAATGTCAATCTGATATATATGGACTACAATCCTGGCCATACAATCGATTAATATCAAGTTTGACAACAAATGTAAGTGTACACAATATACACGCGTTAATTTGTAACTCGTTAGAAACTAAAAATTATTAAAAAATGATAAAATCAACATAAATAATAGGGAGATAATTCCGATCTCATCGGATTTTATGTTTAATGTATCATATATCCTTAACTCTAACACCAATCCGAGGCGTAATGTGTAAGGTAGCATATATCATTAACTCTGATAAAATTTCAAGGTCATAAATGTATAGTTTAAGGTGAATGAAAAATGTAGCAGAGATTCTTAACAATTCATGTTTTAATAATAAAAAAGCTGGATAACATCTATATACTGTGTATTGAAAGCTTCCAGATTAAAATATAAGTTCATCTCAAGCAGTGGCGGATCCAGGG